TAGGAATGAGTAAGCGAGTGAATAGATCTGAGAAAATCTGCATCACAGTATTTCAAAAATATATTCATACACATTATCAATCAAAAAACTGGAATCATTAGAATTGATTTTAGTGAACGAAAATATGTGTAGCTGTAGAGTGTTGGTCTTCATTACGTCCTAGTACAAATATATGCTTTTTTAACCATGCAACTAAACGACTCGTCAGTAGATCTGAACCCATAGCACCAGCTTCTAATCCAATACCATCAGATGTTCCATCATTAGCATAAGGTGCACTTGGAGCTAATGCATGTCCAATACATTGTGCATTACCAGTTAGATTAACACCTTCCGTGAGACATTCTTTCAATGATTTTGAAATTAAATTGCATCCCATTAAGGAATTACATTGACAAGCTAATAAAGAACTTTCAGTCCATCCTGGTAAGGAGGAATTAGTTGGATGGATTAATGCTTTTTCATTACTTGATGATGGGAATGTACTTCCTGTCCCAATAATATTTGTAGTCGATGGATTGTCATAATGACCCATTGTTGTTCCTGATAGAAAACGATTGTTGATCAGTGGATCAGGTATAGACAACAGCAGCAACAATCGATTATATGGCTCAGGAGGTTCCCATTCTATACATTTTTGTAGACGTTTAAGCATGTTACCAGGTAGCTACAAGTATTGCAACAAGAAATAATAAAAAAGATTTATCATGTTAGTCACTTTCTACTTTGAGTTCTAGTCGCGTGTCATAAATTTCCAGAGAACCAAAAACTAAAGTATTAAAAAACACATACACACTGCATTAGACCAGAATATTTTATTAGATGTGTTACAGTATTATTTCCTGATCAGCTTATACATATATCAAACAAAGATACTGAAATTTAATTGGTACTTTACAAAATATTACTCTAATTGAGCTTATGAAGTACGAGTTCTAATGTTGTGGTTAGGTGCATTTGAATACAAAAGAGTCAGACTTCTATCTGCCTTTTAATTTCATACGTCATTTCATCAGTTTATATCTGCACGACTTTATATAAAACCGCAAGTCATGTAAACTGGCTGATTTCCACCCGTCAGCATTCATACTCATTTGAAAAGCTTCCCACTATAAGCTCAAACAATCTTAAGACTTCAAATTTTCATAGAGTATAAAGTAGAGTAGACAAATGTAGGGACTTATAGTGTATCACACCAAGTGACCACAGTCAGGAAGCACTGAAACTTCCTAGAAAGTAAATAGATCTATTCCAGGCTTGATTGCGAGCTGACATCAGTTATAGAACCATTGGAGATGATCTACCAGCTGGCGTTGTAACCGGAAGGTCCTGGGTTTGAATCTCAGTGGGTGGGTACTGATGGAGAGTCCCAGACTGGGACAAAACAGTTGCTCAGTACTCCCTGGTTTTCCAGTGATTCTCTAACTGATGTCAGCCGGTGATTAAATCTGTGACCAATCAAATCCCTGCAAATCAACACTTGGAAATATCTATTTCACCGTAAATTATGTCACTTTATTTTATTATTTTGTTTTATTCCTTCACTTTCCCAGTGGAACCTAGGGCTTCAAGCTTGAGCTTTGAAGTTTCGGTAGCAGTGGTTTTATTTTTAACAGGGTGGGGCTGCTAGCCTCACACCCAACCTTCCCTCTTTACTGGCCTTAGTATCTGCTTATTGAAGTTTAAGAGTGCGTCAGACGTGGATCGAACCCGGGATCACATGCATGGTTGGCGAACTGAACCACCAACGCTTAAAAGTAGCCTAACACCTCACCTCCGGTGGGACTCAAACCAGCAACCTCCGGAAAAAAAGTCCGACGCGCCATCCACTGCATGACGGGGACCGTTAGTTATGTTACTACTAGTCTATAACTCTGATTCATACTTTCCAAAATGGTTGGGAGCAATAGCTCCATACTTCATTGAGTGGTGTTAGGGTCTGCGCTAAGAGCCTATTGATCCAGGTTCACACCTGCTAACACTTTTCCCCAGACGACAATGGATCGACTTGTGGAACATATGTCCGTGGTAATGGTTTCTATTATTCTTACATTTTCTACCACTGATACGGACGACAGGGCGTCGGTGGCACAGCGGTTAAGATGCTCGCCGACCATACACATGGTCTGGGGTTCGACCCCCTGCCGACGCATACCCGATATCAATGGTTGGCCTGCGAAATTCGGGCTACCGATATCACATGCTGAAAATTCCATACTTGTACCGAAAATACTGTATGGTTTCAAGCTATAATCAAGGAATACATGCGTGGACAGTATTAAAGAGCAAACAGTTATATTCACGCTGAAATATGCTACGTAAAATATCTTCCGTTCTTTCGTCGATAGATCTTTACTTTGAATTAATAGTGTTATAATGGCTATCTGATAGCAGTTGTTTATCTTTTTTTCATCCATACCAAAGACTGTCAATTATTATAGTGTATTCTAAGCTATTTTCAGGAATGTATATGAAGAATTTGATCTGACTGATAAATAAGTCCAAGCATCTGTTGCAGATTTTTCAACACTTCATGGTCCTCAGTTGATGTTTTTCATACTTCTAGGAAAAACGCCTATTTATGTACTGTTTTTTTTTTTTTTTTTGAGTACTAATACGTGTATCAAATTAAAATATATATTACACTGTATGAAACCATTCGTGATATAATTAGGTTTTTGGGCAACTATGATTACTTTTCATTTCAAATGATTTCTAGTTCCACAAATTGATTTCATTAACTTTAATACGTGGGGGGGGGGGTTATGCGTTTGAGTGAAAGAAAGTTACATCTTTGAGAGTAAATATAACTCTGGAAAATGAAGGATAAAGAATGATAGTGGTTATCGTTAATGGACTCATAATTACAGAAAAAAGTAGGTGAAGGAAATGGTTGTTGATACCTGTCTGTGCCTGCCATGAAGAAGAGGTATCCATAAGGTAAACAGCTGTAAGAGAAAAAAAAGAGGATGACAAAACTTATTACTTAGAATAGGATATTCATTAATCATTTGGTTTCACAGTTAATTTTGAAAATGAAATCTATAAAATTTCACTAAATTCTATAAATGAATACGTGAACAGGTATGGTAATACTAATTTATCAAACAAGTAAATTCTTTGTACTTAGTCTATTTACAAGTATTCCTGCAATCAATCTTAATTCACCTTTTCTATTAATTCTAACTGATGTAGATAAAATGAGCAAAAATGATAAATATTACTAGTTAATACTTTACGTAAAGAAAGGTATATTACATAAGAAAAGAACGTGGTTATAATAAAAATATGTCCTTATATGTGTAGTATATACTAGAGTCAAATTTAAATGTGTATAAAGCGCGCGTTTAATAAAATGGTATAATTGTGACGCCTTAAGTTATTCTTTAAATTCCTACCATTTTGCAGTCTAAGTTGACTTATTCACACTGTATTTTTTGACAGATTTCTTTTAGTCCGTTATGAATTTTCTGTGCAAACATCAAGTGGAAGTACCGTAACCACTGCATCTCATTCGGTTTAAGCGTTATTTACGTAGTTTAAGAAATACAGTCGACTCATTGCACACATATTGGACATATACAGTTCCACTAACATAGTTAAATATTTACAATACAGCCAGTACAACTTATATCCTATGAAGCCTGCCTTTCCGCGCTAAGAATATGCTGCCACTCTGCGTATCCGATCATTAGTGGCTCCGTAGGATTGCTTGCATCCGATTGCATCATCGTATAAGTAATTCTGTAGTCCGGTGGGGTGTTTGGACTAGGCAGATGTCGCCATTCATTGAGTGCAGTCATCTTGAAATGCCGGCTTCGTTGGCTTAGACATGTGCTACCGATATCATCCCAGAGGCTTCCATACCGGTTACTGTCCACCAGCCCTGGGTTTGGATGGAAAAAAGCAGAGGTGGTCAACCTAAGACGTGGTGCCGTGGAATTAAGGTATCAGTTGCTACACCCACGACTCCTTGGTTAAGGTTTGGGAAATGGTTCGAATTGGTGACTTCAGACATTATCAGATTCAGCCAAGAATCTCAATCATTGCCGCACATACTTTGATTTCCTTCATTCTTCCCTTTTTGACAGTAACACAAGGTGATGAATATGGAATAATCATGAACAAGTATACTTGCTTCCTTTCCAGATAACCTCCCTCACTTATTTTATTCCTATTTTCTTTATATATTTCTTTTTTATTACTTTTATGTGGCGCATCTCTTGTTGTCCTTAATGTACCAAGTTTGTATTTTTAATAATAATAATAATCACTTGAGAATTACCTTTGAAACTAAAGATGATTGACATTCAATAAGCTCTTCAATCACAGTTAACAGGCGACCGCTAACAATTACAAACTATAAGAATTAAAAAAAGGAAAATTCAAAGAGTTTCATATGTATAAAAAGAAGAAAATGTTAAACTATGTGTATTTTCCTCGTTAAACTTAGCAATATTTTAAATTTAAAGTTCTCACCATCAACGGAAGGGATTTAAAAGAGGTTACTTCATTCACTTATCTACGGAGCATTGTCTCAACTACAGGAGGAACGGACGAGGATGTCAAATCGAGAATCGGGAAGGCGAGAAACACATTCATCAACCTGAAACCAATCTGGAAATCTTCGTCACTCAGCATCAACAACGAAATTCGGATTTTCAATACAAACGTCAAGTCACTTTTGCTATACGGATCAGAAACTTGGCGGGTTACAAAGAATATTTCCAACAGGTTGCAGACCTTTATCAACAACAACTGTCTTCGCTGTATACTGAAGATCAGATGGCCGGAACGAATCACCAACAAGAAACTATGGGAACAAACAAAACAAGAACCAATCGCCCAACAAATATGCAGGAGAAAGTGGAGATGGATTGGACACTCGCTGAGAAGGCCGCTGGGTGACATCGTGCGTCAGGCCCTCGAGTGGAACCCGAAAGGGAAGCGGCGATTGGGACGTCGGTGCAAGGGTGACATGGAGGAGATCGTGTGAAGAAGAGTTGAAACATCATGGACTAACATGGATGCAAGTGAAAAGTACAGCAGAAGACAGAAGCAAGTGGAGACGTTTAGTTAAAGCCCTATGTTCCACTTGGAACCCAAGGGAACAATAATAATAATGTTAATTTATATTGGTGATTATTAAGTAGTCAGGCATATACTTAAAGTTTATAATAATGAGAATCAATGATTGTCAGTGATACTATGAAGTTTTCAATGTGCTTTGAGATTAACAAGAGAAAGATATCTGTGAATAAATTCTTAAACTTGTCGTAGAGTCCCATAGAAACATCCTTTAGAGATCCTACATCCGTTAGAGATGATCATGTTTGATCTAGATTGTCTTTAATAGACACAGGGGAGTTATTAAAAGGTGTAATTGATTTAAAGTTTATTTTTACAAGTATATTTGCGTCCAGTTCAATAAAGAAAGTGTGTAACAGAATTTATACCGTAAACAGTCATGCCATTTTGTTATTTAGTTAGCGCTAAGTTATCAGAAGATAAAAGAACAACTGTATGAAATAACCAGGATTATATGAGACAGATTAGTGTCTTTGAAGGTTGGATGAGAATAAGACAGTCATTATGATAGATACATTGGATGAAAGTTACTACAAAAAATTAAGGATAATTCAGTGTGATCTTAAACTGTGTTTAGAGATAATCTTGCGCTAACGATTTTGAACACTGGCTGTATCACCTCGTAAATTGGGAGGAATTATAAAACTCAGATTATTGCGTTGTAGTTCACTGACTAACTGAATTACCTCCGTAGCTTGTTTGTTATACCTACGTCTGCTGATTGTTATAACGGTAATGAACTCGACTGGTACCTTAATATGCCTGTTTGTCCGTTGTACCTTCCGATTCACCGAGCCACGTAAATATCAAAATGCTGGCCTGTAACTGTAAGACGCTGTACTGTACATTTATTACGAAAACGACACATAACATTTATACATTTTTTTTACAACAATAAAGTTGGCTCACAGCCGTGAGAAATGAGTGATCGCACGATAAATTACAATATGCGTGGGAAAGGATGATATGCTGTTTCATGCGGGATCCTTTCAGTTTACTACTTCCGTATTTTTTGAGGTTGTGGATGTACATTACCAACGCATCTTAAAGTAGAACTGAAAATCTGAGGATTTGGCTGATGCCGATATGTGTTTGAAACTGTTATGAAACAACTTGTAAATTTGAAGAGTTCATCTGTGTAATCCACAACTTAAAATAATGACTGTATTAATGTTGAGATGAATCAGTTAGATTCTACACTTTAATTTATGCCTCAAAAGATTCATTATACTCATTGTTTGGAGATGTTTATTTGGAGTAGCCTTCAAGACTTACTTTGAATTAATTAATTACAGTTTAATAAAAACCTCAATAATTTTAAAAGAAAAATATAAATCATGAAAATATTTGTTTAAGAAAGTATTAGCTCACATCTTCAGAAATAGATAATATGCGTAAAACAGTTGGCATTATTCGTATCCAAAAATCAAATGCTGTAGCCATAGCAGCTTTATGTTGATTTGAATTCACTGGTGAGAGACTGGCAACTGTTTCACAATAAATAGTCCATACCTAAAAATGTCGAAAAATTTCTGTAAGCGAACTCAAGTTTACATTTGTTGAATAAAATATTCTCTAGTGATTAGTCAGATATTACTGTTTATTAATAAGTAGTATAGTTTGTAAAAATAACCTGATGTTATTTGGTGATTTTCAATACATCATTAATTATGGTGTTAACTTGTACCAAATTTTCAAAACAGAATTGCTGTACACACCATTAGTGTCCAACTTTTGTCTTACAGGAAGTAACAAGCAAAGTGACTTGCATGATCCCTTATATATATATCTTTGAAATTACCCATGAAGATGATCCTCAGTAAGTTAGGTTTTAATTATTACAGAGATTCTCAAAAACCTGTCACTTTTGGGGTTTTGTGGGAATCTGAACTAAGTTCAATGCAGATTTCGTCATGAAGCAGCATCAGTTAGAGAGCACTGAACAGAGCTGTTTTATCCCAGTTTGAGACTGTGCTGGCGCTTTCAATTATCTTTAACTAATGTTGGTTCATGACCAAGTCTACAGTGAAAGTTTACATATCTGTTTTTTGTTCAACAATACTGAACAGTATTTTGTAATTATGTCTATTCAGCTTCCTCTTATATCTCGTATTGCAGCACTGATATCCTCTATCTTTAAGTTAACTAATTAAGATAGGTGAATATGAAGAACAAGAGTAAATTGTGAGGTATGTAAATATCTTTGTCTATTAACAGAGAAGTTGGTGATACACCTTTCTAATCCATTTGCAATTCATGGTATGATTTAAACGTTAATATTACGAGTGCGATTAAATAAGAAGAAGCATTTAACTATTAGATAGATAATTTTCTTGATTTTCAATGATAATAAGTCATTAAAAATTTTATTTTTGTCTCGGAATAGTTAAGCAATCAGAGTCATACCATTCATAAAGGATATGTGATTATTATTCCCTTATAAGACTAATTATAATGGATTTGTGTTTCCTGGTAATAGCACGTCGAAGCTAACTATACTACATTTAATTATACTGATAATACGCTTAGTTCAAAAGATTTTGTGATATCTACTAGTCGTTAACAATTATATAATAAACGTCTGATAAGGATTGCACAACTTTGGTGCCCGAAATATTGCTGTGGTATAAGTTAAAAGCTGATGTGAACTAATAAACTTTTTTCAAGGGATTGAAGTGAATTTATTGGAAAGAATATTCTTCATTCACACCGGTCTTTAATAAGAAATGATAGTAAAGACAATAGTTATTTACATAATAATTATGATTCTATATAACCAATGCAGCAACAATTAATTCTGTCCAAATGACTTATTATTTCATTGAGCAACATTATTACACTTAAGATTTCAATAATCTTGTCAATTAATTCAAAATAATAAACACTAAGAAAAACTTATTGAAATTTCTGTAATGAATAGGTTGAATTTTTGGGGTGGGGTCGCTAGCCGAATATTCCCTCTTTTTTCCGAACTTAGGACCGGTTAGTAAACTAGGCGAGGTCATCAAGAACGGGAAAAACTGAAGGAAGTCGTCACTTTTAACTACAGGCGGATCGTATGAGCATGTCAAAAACAGGATCTGAAAAGCGAGACAGAAATTCATTAGTCTGAAATCATTGTGGAAATCGGAATCAGATTTTCAGCCCTAATGTTAAGTCATTGCCTTGATATGGTTCACAGATCTGACGTGTCACCAAAAGCATTTCCAAAAGCCTTCAGAATTTCATCAACAGCTGCCCTCTTCCGATAGTGATGGTCAGATGGGTAACAAGAAACTCTGGGAATGAACCAATCAAGAATCTATTGCTCAATAAATATGCGGAAGAAAATGGGGATGGATCGAACACACGACCTTTGAGTGACATTGCGCGCCGGAACCTCGAGCAGAACTAGGATGGAAAATGACAAGTGGGAATTCCGAGGGTGGTGGAGGAGATGAGAGCTTATGGTCAATCGTGGAGCAGGCTAAAGAGGACTGTAGAGAGCAGGATGACATGGAAATGTCCTGTTGAAGCCCTATTTTCTAATGGGAACCTAAGGGAATAATAGTAATATTAATAACAAAATTTATTGAAACTATGCTGCACCCATGCTGACATATCAACTTCCAGTGTGGACGCTTCGGCATTTTCTCGAAGTTAACTTAGCGTTATTGGTTTGATGATAGGTTCCACTGATAGCCACCACGAAACAAATGACACTAAATAAAATTAATGAACACGATAAAGAATATTATTCTAATTTTAGTTTTAAATAGAGTAATTAATTCCCTTGTGCTTGATTTGTACATCCTGAAAATTACTAATTAATGCAGTTTTCATCAGTAATGGTTCTTTACTCTAGCTCTTATTTCAATGAAATGAATTTGATCTTGTCTCAACAACAAGCATACCAATAATATTTGATTTGTTAACTGATTAAATAACGTTCGTTCTTGAAGCACTTTAAACATTCAATAGCAGTAAACCTATCCTAAAATCACATTGAAAAATTATCCATCATCTCCTGAATGGAGTGGAAACAAAATCGAAAATCATTAAAAAAATGATTGGGGAAATTGCTATGGAATAAACTTCAGCCCAGTAATATCAGATCATCCAGAGTGATCTTCTTATCTCAAACTATGCAACCTAAACAAGTGAGATAACAGTATTAAGCGGAAAAGATGAATGAAAACATATTTCCAAGTTTAAGCTGAGGCATTTCCTCAAGCAAGTAACTGACATATAAGCTTGTGATAGTGGTTAAACTTCTTTTAGTCAAAATAAATAGTATCGATGGTATTTGGTAGTAAACTTTTCATCGACACTGACTTCAAGTAGAAATGAAGTACAGAAGAGGTCATTCAGTCTCCTAATAAACTTCTCATCTTGAAATATCTAATCTCAGAAAACATTTATCAACTGCGTATTTGCTAATTAAGGATATTCTTGTCCTGGGATATTTTAAACATTAAATTTCTGCTTCTATTTTATTGTAAATAAATCAAAATAAAGGTGATTATGATAAAGAAAATGCTTACCTGACACAGCAGGAACACATGATACAATGAAGACATCACAGTAACAGATTGCTGAAAACAAAAAAACAGATTAAAAAATGGGGTAACTTGCACAAAATGTTGTTAATTCATATTTGGTAGGAATTCAAAATTTCAAGATGAGTAAATTCCCAGGTTACAGTTTCTCAAAACAAATTAACTCGATGGTATTTTAATTTGATGACAAGTAGAAATGACTGCTGAGATTAGATTTCAAGTTGAAATTGTAAGTACCACGAATAACCTGTTGGTAAGGTCTTTAGTGTGACCGTAGATACACCCCGCTAATAAGCGACAACAAGTAAAAAGCTTAGTATTACTCAAACGCTTAATACTGTTTGTTAATCACTTTCCGATCAGCATGTCAACAAATCACTACTGATGAACAAATAGTTTCGTAGGGATTTTGATTAATCACGAATCGATATCACTCAGAGAATCATTCGCTTCTTGGTTAGGTCATTGGTAATTGCTACTGAAGAGTCTCAAGCTAGGACGAAGCACATGTGTCAGTGCTGATCGGTTTTTAGTATATTAACCTTTGACTTACACTAAACTATTCATTAACTAAAAGCTTTAGAAACTACAACAATTCCATTTTGTTCTAAAATCTGTTAACATTTTTCCTAAAGAACTGTCGTATGACAGTTTATAAGAAGTAAAGATTAAATTACCTTAAACTCGACAAATTTCTACGATGCCAAAGGAAAAGGTCTCATATTCTTAAGCTAACAGTTTTGTTACTCATAAGACCAGACTTGGTCATTTCATGCTAATTACCCACTCATGGACTTGATTAAAATAAGTTAGTACTTTAAAGAGAGTTCAGTAAATTGCAGAATCAAGAGTAGATTTTATCACAAAGACATATTAATTAGCAAATCATTGAAAACAAAAGGCCGTTGTTCAGCTACTCCGTTCTGGACTAATTCCATGATGAATCCGATTTGTAGAGGTGTCTAGAACTGAGGGAGAAAGAGATGTCCAGTGTTCTATGGTTTTTAGAGTGTTTCCTTGGTTAGTGTTATTTCATGATGAAATTATACTTCCTATGAATCGAACTCAATAAACCTATGGCTTACAATTAGAGAAAGCTCGGAAATCAGTCGCAAGAAGTATTGGTGAAGTGGAAGACTAAGGGAAAAAAGACGAAGAATCAAACTTAATCAATAAGGACAACTGATATCACGTGATAAGAAAAATGAAGATCTATAGGGTAGGAAAATACACACTTGAAATAAATTAGATTATCATACTGACATACAATTCAAAAACGATCAAATACTTTCGAAAATGATGTGACATAAAGAAAACTGATTGAATGAAACTAAAAGTCACGAAGCCACTGAAATTCGCAGTTTACTTGGTATACTTGTGTAACAGTGATTTCACTGCCTTCTGAATGTATACAACTGACAATAAAAACACATCTAGTTATTTTTATCGCTGCGAGAAATATAAGACGGCTTATTTTCTTGTGATTGATAAAGTCGTAAAGTGAAGACACAAATAAGCGTAATATTTAACTGGAGATCAATAAACTATTGGGGACGTTTTTCATTTTTCTTCTGAATTGAATTATTCACTAATCCTTGAGGTCACTGACTGCTGGTCTGAATGTAGATCACCTGACTAGGAACCTCGGAATGCTAAGAATCGATGACTGAAGAATTTTTGTGGAAAGGATGAATACCTCTCATGGTGGTTAACGAATATCCACTCCTAGTTAGAATTTGAAAAGTTTAATTGAATTGTAATTGAATTGCTTTTTTCCTGATACCCATGTCTGTCTATTACATTTGTTTCCCTCATTCTGCCTGCTTCTTAGAAGTGTGTCAACGATATATGAGATCATTGATCTTAATGCCACTCATTCGCATGGTAAAGGTTTTTCCTGCACTGAACTTATAAGATATATGTTATGTGTGAGGGCCTGTTCAACCATCTTTCGAAGTGTGCTAAAAATAATTTTCAATGTTACTCAGTTGTTGTGATTCGAATCCTCCAGGCAATGGGCCATATTTCGTTATCACTTTTCAAATAACATAATAATAGTATTATTATAAAGAATTGCTTCTTTCATTTGAATTGTCACCTCATTTTAAAAGTACGGGGTCTTACAACAAACACTTCACTATACTTATTATTATTGTTTCCTTTAATTCCTAGAGGAACATAAGGCTTAGCCGCACGTCTCCATTGCGTATGGTTCTCTGCCAACGTTTTCACCGGGATCCACGTCTGCCCACATGCTTTCATCTCTTCTTCAAATGACCTCCTCCATATCGCCCTCACACTGACGTCCAACTCGCTGCTTCTCATTCGGGTTCCACTCGAGCGATGGCCTGGAGTGTGATGTCACTTGATGGTTTTTGCAGAGTATGGTCAATCCACCTCCATTTCTACCTGCATATTTGTTGCACAATTGGTTCCTGCTCCCAGAGATCCCTGTTGCTGATCTTTTCTGGCCGGCCATCTGATCTTGAGCATTGAGCGAAGACAACTGTTGATGGAAGTCTGTAATTTGTTCAAAGTGGCCTTCGTGACGTGGCGCCAAGTCTCTGATTCGTATAGTAGCACTGACTTCACATTGGAGTTGAAGTATTCTAATTCCCTCTTTTACCAACTAACAAGCAGGGAAATTCAAAGTACCTTTTTCCACCAACAGAAATTATTCAGAGAACCACTGAAAACCAAGGAGCACCAAACAGTTGTTCTGTTTCAGTTTAAAACTCTCCAACAGTGTACATCCATGATGAGGGACATCCAATTACTCCCGATATCCTAGGTTGGAATCTTATCGCTAATGTTCCTCGACTTATAACAACTCAAGATGGAGTGTAAGCTTTTACCAGAAAAATCACTTCACAGTGTTACATGAAACACCTCGGTTAATTTCATATGTAACATTTAGAAAATGCACATAAAATAGGAGTAATATTTATCTGATAGTAGTATACTGAAAAAGAAAACAATTCAGTATACCAGATTATTAAAATATGTGCTTGAATATATTATATAAAAATCTATGCTCGCACAACCAAGTACAGGAACTCAACGATACGATACTTGGCCTGTGTTCTAAGCGACAGAGACAATGTTAAGCGTGAAACCTATGACTTGCTTTGTTATTAACAACACAATTTTAGGCTCTTTTATTTCTCGCTTATTTTGTATTCTATAGTGAACTCCTTCTTCAAACATACTTAGCTACCTAAATTATTAATATTGGCTTCCTTTTTTGTACTTTACTATACTCCTTCTATTGTGTATCCACTGGTTCCGAACTCTATTAGCACTATGAGTACTACAAAATTGTCCTGTCATTAACCATCATGTAATTATTAGTTTTGTGGCTGTTTTTTTATTTTTTTATTTTCTATACTTTTCGACAATATTAAACTGACAATCATTGGTTGTGAACGCCATAGTCATCACCTTAAAAAATTTTGTATTATTCAGGATTACTCACACTTCCACTACAAACATTGAATTAGACCTGACAATAACAAAAAAAAACAACAACCCTGAAATGTTATTTTATGATTGTTTAGAGTTGTTTCAACCAAATTAACTGACCATCTTGGCGATAAACATTCTTAAATATCATTTCATAACTTCTTGTATGACTATAGCTTTACTGTCACCATGCATAATCATATTATAGCTTCCACTACCCAATACTGAGTTATTATTATATCATGGAAAATTCCCATTGTAACATATAGAAAATCAAAACAAATGATTCAGCGAAGAGACTCTTTTCAACGAATTTATCATCAAGCTATACAATCGTATATATATGGTTTTTAAGAAGTTTTTTTGATTTGTCTACTAGTCTTATAATTGCACACCTTTTTCAAGTTCTATCCATCCTATGAATTATTCTATATATGACATTAATTTGCTTTGCCACTTGACATTTAACTACGACTATAATCACAAACATTTTAGTTTTAATTGCATTTCATATTATTATTATTTCATGCATTCACACCTATGTATCAATTCCCTCACCGGATATAACTTTTTAAAAAACCATATATATACGATTGTACAGCTTGATGATAAATTCGTTGAAAAGAGTCTCTTCGCTGAATCATTTGTTTTGATTTATTATTAAATAATGTTTATTTTCCTTTCTACTTCTTGGTATTTTTTCGCATTTATAATTATTTTTGTGTTTATCCTGTTTACTTTTTTGCTGTTGGTGTCTTTAGGTTTATTTTTATTTTTTTTGTTAAATACTCCTTTTAAATGTTTGTAAAATTAGATGCAAATATTGTAGATATGTGCTGAAAATTCCACACTGTACCACTAGTACTGTTTTCTGGAATAAAGCAAATTATTATTATTACTCTAGATTAGATATTATCCCTTTTAAACAAATTCAACTTACTTTCTGTTGGTCAGGAAATCCACTTAATAAAGCCTTGACTAAATCTGCTACTGAAACAACTAAGCTGAATGGTATAGGACGACAAGATAAACCAGTAGCTTCACGTGTCAATGCCATATTCATTGTTGCACCGAGTAATAGCCAAGACAATGTACGAACTCTTTCAACCATAATGAGGAAATCTTTTGGTCTTTATAGACGAATAGAAAGGGAAAAAAATAAAACCAATACACACAGAATTAAGATGATGCTTATTGAATAACATAATATATCTCGGAAAGAAAAATATCTACAGCGAACAAAAGCTTCCTCAGTCTTACTGTAGTTTTTCGGATAACCACAAGATGAATTATACTTAACTAATTATTTGCTTTAATATATTTATGCGTTGAAGTTTCTGTAGCAATTTGGTTAAGTTTTCGGGGTGGAGTTGCTAGCACCACGCCCCAACCCTCCCTCTTTATCTAGGCTTGGGACCGGCTAGAAAACTAGCGAGCTAGTAATCTAGGCGAGTGAGACGTCCAAGGGTGACATGGAGGAAATCGTGTGAAGAGGAGTTGAGATAGTATGGATTAACATGGATGCAGATGAAAAGTACAGCAGAAGACAGAAGCAAGTGGAGAGGTGTAGTTGAAGCCCTATGTTCCACTAGGAACCCAAGGGAACAATAATAATAATTATTATTATTTGCTTTAAGATCCTGACATATGTAGTTATTTATTAGTTCATGATAGAATGTAAAATGATCGAATCCTGTTGTATACACGATGGTCTGACAGTCAGATATATCTTCTTCATCAGATTTAAGAGTATAAAGATTTTCATAGACATAATGTTCTCATATGTTCTTACTTTATGTCTGTTTTTCTCATTCATATACATTCGTTTCCTACTGACTGTCCTATTTCACTTTGCTAGATATCTGTAAATTCTTTATTTTTAGTTAATCTTTTCCGGGTATATAACAAATGTGTTGACTTGAACAGGTAGAGTTATTTTTGTGAATATTTGCACTAAATTCACCAGCTCTTTATACTACTAAGTAGTAAAAAGTATCAAACATAAGAAGTCACACTATTCTGAATTCTTTGTGTTTGAAAGTTTCGGCCAGAAATCTGGTCCCAGTTCCTTCGAAATGCAACTTTTTACACGAAGAAGATCAGATCAGACAGTATGGTAATGCTCTGCAATTATATTGTTTCATATATGCATGGAATTATACAAATTCAGTCCATATCTAATTTTTAGTAGTCATTTAGCTCCAAGAATTTTGTGAAAATATTCTACCAAACACTGAACAAAGCTTACATGAACTATTTGCCTTAAGTTTAAAGGATGAATTCAGGATTATCCATTCAGTTCGCAAGAGAATAAAATTTGCTGTAATAATACAAGGGTTGGTATATTTATCGTAGCATATATATATATATATATACGTGTAAACCATATATTTCCGGTGTATATTAATTAAAGTTATAGCATCTTTCTTCCCTGTTTAACTAAAAGACAGCAGTAAATATAAAAATCTATTTAAAACCATCCAAACCAAATTGATATTTAAATAGTTTAATATTGTGTATCTAGAAAAATCAGATTTTGACTTACCCTAATTGAGACGACGGTGGAGTAGACTTTAACCATGGTAAATATTGTAGTATAGGTGCTTCAGCATGACTTGTATGCAAAAGTGGTGGAGCTAACATAACATGTGCATAGGTTGGTTGACGAGGACTAGTCAGATTGGGACTAGGTACTATAGGAGTGGTAGATGTTGTAGGAGAAATAGAATTTGGTGACGTTGAATTTAATGTGCATGCTGAAGCAGTGGTAGAAGAAATTTGATCAGATGAACTTCCTAGTGGTGGACTAGAAAGCGAAGGGGCCAGTAGTTTGGGAGTGCTACCATCTAGTCCTTTGCCTGATGGTGTCGAGGCCGATGCTGTTAAACGAGGGTGATCTGTATCACTGGATTTACAAATGGTTGGAGTAGCGGCATCCGGTTGGGTAATAACTATAATTGCTGGATCTGGATGAGTGTCACTTTGTTTGGTAATTAATCCACTGGTCTTACTAGTTTTTACTTGTGTAGTTGTATGCTCGGAACTAGTAATATGTCCACTTTCTGTCAATAAGCTTACATTCTTCCCGGATGTTCCAGCTGAAGCGACATTTGATCCTATTACATTAGTGGACGTCTTTGATCGGGAAGGTAACCCAGGTGCTGCAGTTTTATTAGTTCGTATAGTCTTTATATCAGATAGTAATCCAGGTGCAAGCAGAGGCAAGACATCTTGATCACCTCCGCTGTTAGATCTTGATAATTCCAATGAGACATACTGAGCTAAGCCTGATTTCAAGTGTGCTCCTAAGACATCTTCATGTAAACTTGGGATACCTGCCCCTAATCCAACGCCAGAGCTAGTTCCCGTAGCCCCAGGTCCAGAATTAGACGCTCCTGAGGGATTAAACGTTCCACCGAAGAGACCAGTACCAGTACCTCCGGAGGCCCCTCCACTATTTCCTAGTGTGTTGGAGTCATTATTACCACCTCCACATACACCAGAACCAGTCATTGCAGATGAGGAGCCAAGACCACATCCAAGGCTGTTCAGTTGAACGGCTGACTTCTGAGATTGTTTAACCTATAAATTAAGAGGATATTATTCAGTTAAACAAACGTACTTTAGGAAACCTGAATGTCATAATCTGACGCCAAAAGATACAGTGATAGGTATGTGTATAAATGTACAGACAAAAATGGCGAATAATGAGACTTTTTTCAAAGAAATAATAGATTTACCAGACAGAAAAATTGCAAAAGATTTGGATCGGAATTTTCTGTTGTCTAAAAAGTTTTGCAACACCCAATGTATCACAGTAAACTAAAGTTCTATAGAAGGGAAATGGTGTATTGTATGGTTTCGTTTTCCGTTGTAAAAGAAATATAAGCTACTTCTTTCAAAGCCTGATTAAAATGACAGTAATTACTTAAAACAGAAGTTTTATTTATGTGAATAATGAGCTTCTGAGCTTCGCGTAAGAAGTAGTTTGTACAGTCGCTGTATCTCCTATGTTCAGGGATAACTTGACTAAATATTAATCGTAACTACGGCCAATAATTTCATAACCTCCTTTTTCTACTCGTTTGAGATTTGTATCATATACAAATGCAGAAACCTATTTACACCCTTCATACCTTGGTATTAACTAACTTTAAGAGTTGATCATGGATTGACATCAGTTAGAGAACCATTGAAAGCCGACGAGGAGTACTGGACAGCAGTTTCATCCTAGTTTGGGAATCATCAACAGTACGCCACTGGGGTTTGAACCCAGGACCTTACGGTTATAAGGCAAGCTCGTATGCCATTCAGCCACTGGGACCCGATTCAATTACTACCCCATGAATTCTAACTTCTGCTAATTCACGATATAGCGCGACCGCTTAGCAATATCTTCGATGAGTAACTGCTCTCACCCTCGACCTGCTGTACCCTAATGATCACGACTTCCCACTGGAACCTCAGGTAACTACCTACCTGAATAGGGCCAGTTGCCAGCGAGCATCTCATTGATATTCAAGTATTGGTTTGTAGGGATTTGGTTGATTGGTTACAGGATTTCAACATGAGCTGACATTGGTTAGAGAACCATTGGAAAACCTGGGAGTACTGGACATTGCTGAATAATTCATAAAGCTTGGTGATAAATTACCCGGGATATATATTTGAATAAACTATGTTTCCAAATTACATGCATATACACACACCTATAATTGCACTGTTTGCAGTTAAAATAAATCACGACGTTTAAACATTAACAGCTACACTTTGTCTCCTTCATTTATTCCTTTACGTCCCCAGTGGAACATAGGACTTCAAGGTAGAGGCTTGAAGTTTCGGTAGTAGTGGTGTTTATTTTTATGGGATGGGGTTACTAGCCTCATGCCCAACCTTCCCTCTTTACCAGTCTCATTACTGGCTTAGCGAGGTATAGGAGTGCGTCGGTAGGAGATCAAAACCCGGACCACATGCGAATTTGGCGAGCATTCTACCTCTGTGCCACCGACGCACATTTCCTTATCTGTAAATCCTAGGCTTAAAGTTTAAATTCTCATCTTGAAGCCTAGGCTGTGTTATATCTGTTAGCATTTATCCAGCTTTCGATTACTTCAAAAAGTCAATAGACAGTGGAACTCTTCAAGATGTGATTCGTCAAGATGCAACCTTAGTTTTTCTATCATCCTCTTCAGAGATGACATAACTCCATAATCCCATCTCAGTGTATTCAACACTAATAGAGAAACAGCCCGTTTGAAAGAAGAAAATAAGGCCAATGGTAAATTTTTAAAAAGAAAACGACTTACTTTGTGCATGGTATGAATATCTGATATAAAGGCTAAACAGTCAGGTAGATGAGGTTTCATTAGTTCAGCTGCACCAGTTGGAAATAGATGATAGGTTTGTGGATTGAAGAGTGTTGTTATGCCCTCTACTACTTGATTCGGTTCTATTGTACCACCAGCATCCATCAAAACAAACTTGAGATGAAAGTGAAATCAGAAATGAAGACTTTATCAATACGTGTATGATATCCAACTTTATATATATCATTTGTAGATTGATAAGGTATTTTACAATTCTCTGGCAATGAAATTACTAGCAGAAACAATAAGTAACGCATCTACGCGTAAGTAAATTAGTTTACTGAAAATTAAATAATATTTATTGTACAGTGTACAGTAATGTCATTTATATTTCTGCACTTGGGAAGAATTATATTTGTCTTTTGGTAGGTTTACTCAAATATTTCTATATGTTCAGTAGGCAAGCACTAAGTTTGAACAGACATTTTTAAAGTGAAACTACAACAAGAAATCTGTCCAGTGGTCCTTCGGTTTACAATGACCCTATAAATGATATCGATTCCATACGAAGTCGATCTTGAAAATAAATGTTTTGTATAACTTCCAAGTTAATAAGGAGAATGGAGAGCGGTATTAGCCGTTTTTTACTATTTCAATGTTATGGGTAAACTGGAAGTGATACTGCTGTAAAGGTGGAAGACAAGAAACTTGATAAAGAAATGTTTATTCGAAATTTGGTATCTCCATAAGGCGAGATTACGTACACCTTATCTCCAAATCGTCATTTGCCCAGATCTTCCGTGTTATGCCACTTCAGCCCTTTGTATTGCGTTTCTTTGTCTCTTTTTCGTGTCTCCCTCTCACTTTTTGTCGTAACGCTGAATCATTTGCTCTCTTTGACGTCAAACCTATCTCTCCTCTATTAGATATTTTTATGCCGATGAACGTCTCTTTATATACTACTGATAAACCTTATCAGTAGCACACGCCCCACACAGTGACTTACAAAGCATGGTACAAGTCAGTGAGATTATGCCATCAGTAATAGATTTCAACTTCTGACTGAAAGTTTAATATTGAAGATTAATCATAAAATATCTAAATTATCCCACAAATTATTTGTCAGTGAACCAATTTAATATCTGTGATCATGTTGAATAAGCTCAGTGAACCAGTAATATAAGTCATTAAATTGAGTGGCATAATATCACCGACACAACTGAGTAGAATTCAGCTAAAACTTTTATATGATCGTGGTAGTGCAAACTTCACCAAAGTGATCAACATGAAATGTTTTATCCAAGCCTTTGGTGTAAACACTAGTCATTTGGTACCAGAATTTATTCAATACGTCAACTTTTTTGAGACAAGGATATGGACATATTTCATAAGTACTATTGATAATCTGTTTATATGAGATTGTATTGAACCCTTTAAAGCAGAGTACCTATGAGTCTTTTTTACTTCAACTTAATTTCTCGAAGATTCTGATTTCTACAGACAGTTTTGACTTTCTGTTCAATACTTTCTCTATACTTTAAGTCAAGTATTCCATACATTTTGGTGTGGTTGTGTTCTCTGAGCTGGATGGTTTGGTTGCGAAGCTTTCATTGCTCTACTGAGCAACATCTTCAGCGCATACTTCGATGTGAAGTGAGCTTTTAAATTACATTTGCCTTCTAAGTGGAATATAGGACTTCAAGCTTGAAGTTTCAAGTAGCGATAGAGTTGTTTTGCTAGCCTCATGCACAAAGCAAAGTATAGTGCAGCAAAATGGAGAAGTATTAATTATTATTATTTCCTTTAATTCCTAGAGGAACATAGGGCTTCAGCTGCGCGTCTCCATTGCGTTCGGTTCTCTGCTAGAGTTCTCACCTGGCTCCAAGTTTGCCCACATGCTTTCATCTCCTCTTGGTACCAATTGCGATCATCTTTGTTAAAATATTTGAACTAAAAATCTGTAAAAGACTTAATATATGATGCATTTATGTACAGAAAGTATTGGTTAGCCTACTGAGATAAGCTTTCAAAAGTTTGGGCATCTTAAATAGATTGGAGCTGAAATCTAGAAGTCAGTAATATTACTACACGAAATGACTTCTGCATAGAGCGCATCATTTACAATTTACATAGTTCGATCCTTTGGTAATTAAGGATATTCAGGTGACAATATATGATCTGACTGATAGCATAAAAGGTAAGTGAGAAGGTAGGCAAAAAGGAATGATGAAATATACTACTGATTAGTAAACGATACAAATGATATGCTTAACTGATTATGTGGAATTTACAGTTCAAGCATAAATCATAAACATTTTAACAGAAGCAACAGTGTCACTAGCAATAAATTTGTAAGTATTTAAAAGGTGAAAAGCCTTATTCGCTCCGGGTTTCATGCTTATGAACATTCCTTGACAAAGTGTATTTGCTTCACTAAGGAGAATCATGTTTACACGGAGAAAAATTTGTGTCACTTAGTGAGATTCTGTAGTAGAAAGCTGCACTAGTTAATATCTGACAATCATTTAACAAAGCAATATCATTTTTATTTATTTATTTATTTTGATTTACAGCTTGATTCCACACCGTATTTTCAGTACAAGTATGGAATTTTCAGATGGATATCGGTAGCCCGAATTCAGGCCGACCATAGATATCAGGTGTGCGTCAGCAGGGGATCGAACCCCGGACCATGTGCATGGTCGGCGAGAGTCCTAACCACTGTGCCACCGACGCACATTTTACTTAATACAACTGAATAGAAGTTTTATAGATATTAATTAAACGTTGATATATATAAATGATGAAGGGTTATGTCATGCATGATATAATAAGACACCGAAATAATTGATTACATTTTGATAAAGAAGTAGTATCTGATGCATATTGTTGTATTTATTCAATCAACTTTAGTAATATCACTCACCTGAAGTAGTTTTATCAAGTTTTCATCCGGTATGCAAGCGCGAAATTTAATTGACTGATGAAATATGTCAACCAGTGTTCTAGTCAACTGAGCTTTTGTACGATCCTGTCAGATAAGAAATTAAAAATAATGAATAATGAAATTGGAAAACAGAAAACTGAAGCATTAATATCTTGACTGGACGGTAACTTGCTGGTTTCATAATCTAACGGTTCTAGATTTGATTCTTAGTAGAGTTGTGAATGCATACTTCTAAAAAGTTCTAAGTCAGAGTGAAACAGCTTTCTACTGGCCCTCTGTCTTTCCATGTTTGTCTAACCACCTTTGTGTCCGAGGTAATATTCAACATGGATTTCGACATACTGCACCAAATGATAAGTATCACATTACTGTCACATAGTAGTTAATCGGTCACTTTCGTATTTGTTTCAGCCACCACTTCATCAGTAATATTCAATAACAGATGTAAAAGTCATTAAGAAAGGTTGCCTTTCATGTGAATAATCTAAAGAAGCCAATGTTTCAGCATAACTTAATTACTGAAGAATAATCTTCATTCACCCCAAGTGCTAAAGAGAATCTAAGAATTGCTTAGAGTATATTACTGTGGTGTAAGTATAATCTTACAGCCAAAACAAAATCAACTGCTTCTAACATATGTTTAGCAAGTGGAAAGATTAGTACCTAGGTTATAATAGAATAGCATAGTAGGTACTTGAGATTGGCATGAGTGTAGTTCAATAAGTTTGTGGCCTATTTCAAGGGCAGTTGTGGACATTGGTTTTACTATTAGTCCCACAAACTTAACATCCATTTTGATTTATTAACTTTGAGATTATGAAAAATACCAGATATTTCGTGCTCAACCTCCTGTTATAGAGAAAGAGAACATTTTCCTTAAAAAAACATTTTGAATGAATTTTCTGAGTATCGTAGTAATTCTTTATTTTAATCTTAAGTTTAGAGTCTTTTAAGAGAAAAAATTTGAAATTCATTTGACTATCATGAGAAACATATTTGTAACCAAACAGCTGAATTTTAAAATGTGATAATGGGCAACTGTAATAGCAATTTTGGAGGGGAAATGAAGACTTATCACATTTAAAAGAACATTCAGTCAATGCATAATTGAATGAAATTATGCCTAATGAATTATTATACAAGCTTGGCACAAAAAGACATTAGTTCTATTGGCACACTTCCACAAAAAATATGGAAGTAGAAATAAGATGATACTACATTGAACAAAAATGCGTTCAATGAAGGGAATAATTGGGTAAGGACTGATGAAAGTTTCCGGGATTTGGAAGATGTTAAAAAGTGAATGCAACAATTTGAATGGTAATACTGTGGTGTTGTGATGCAGACAATTTGTTCCAACGGAATATTATTCTCACATCTTCCCACAGTTCAATACTGCGTTAGTAACAGAATACTATGTATTTGAACATTCCATTTCATGTCGTTTAATGTAAGCCAAAATCACACGCTCAGTGACTGGTTAAAGAATATTAAATATATATATATATATATATATATAAGTGATCAATGAAAAATATCCCTCGGCTTCCATGTCTTGCCTTCTGCTGTTACAATACCTACAGCCATGTTTACATCAATAACCATAAAACTATATTACTGTTTCATTTGAACGAAGTTCATTCAACACAAATAGCGGCAACAACGTTTCGTATTAGAATAACAGCAATGTTTCTCCTAGAATTATCTATGAAACGACCTGAATTTCGTAGAAAATCGGATGATAATAATAAACAGCTAGAATCTTTCTTAGATATTTAAACCTAATTACTAAATAGTAGTGTTATCTAGAATGGTATACGGTACAGTTATAAAAAGTTTATTTCTGCTCACCTTTAAAACTCGATTACTCAATGAACATAGTTCTATGACGCTAGTCAAACGAAAGTGTACATTTTCTACAATTACCCGGAGTAAATTCGAAAATGTATCTGGAAGTGTCTGGATAAAAACGATAAAGGGAAAAATAATTTAGTACAATGTGTGAAGTATTATGCATGTAATATTGATTAATCATCTGACTTTATTATGACACAATATGAAGAAATATAGATACAGAAGAAAGCAATAAGTCGAACCACTATCAGCGTGTATAATCTTCTGAATCATTTTCTGTAAGGGAGAACGTGCAGAAGTTGGATAGAATAGATCACTAGTTCCTGACTGCATGGTCACATGGTATTGAGCTACATACCAGACGTGGGTTAAATGCCTCAGTGAATTGTATGTGTACACTACTGTAGGGGGTCTAGAGAAAGAAGGCTTATAAGACACCATATCACTTAAATAACAATACAAATACAAACTGAAGATGGTCCCTTGTTACCCACATGTCTATTATCGTGATCCATTACAGCTATGGATACTAGATGGTTATCCCCACAGGCTTCAATATACTCTGGAGATCATTCGAAGAGTTATTAGGTAGAAGCGAAAATTCATGTCTTAAGATTTGGTCATTTTGTTGGCTGTAATATCATGCAACTTGATTACTGCTATCTCTGAAAATAATATACTTCCTTTCTGATTATTAAAATTTAAATAAAATAAAATTCTTCCTTCAGTGATTTTCATCAGGAACAGAGCACGTAATCAGCTAAATAAAATCTAAGTTAGACATATTCACCTAAGCAATGAGTTTTTGATTCGGAGACTTACAATAGTATTTATTGAAAAACGTCTTAATGTAACTCACCATTTATGATTGTCATTTTAAGAAAAGTAGTACGGATGTAGAGGTGGCGCAGAGGTAGAATGCTCGCCAGCTACTCAGGTGATTTAGGGTTCGATCCCAGGCCGACGCACTCTTAAACCTCGCTTAGCTGGTAATAAGCTTGGCAAAGAGGGAAGGTTGGGCGTGAGTATAGCAATCCCACCTCGTAAAAATAAGACCATTGCTACCGAAACTTCAAAGCTCTAGCTTGAAGCCCTATGTTCCATTTGGAACGCAAAGGTATGAAAAAATAAAAAAGTACGGATGCAGCAGTGTTTCAAAGTTAGAGAACCATAACCTTCTCAAAGTGGAATATGATCGATATAATAACAGGTAAAATGTCACTCGGTGATTATCGCGGATGTAGATATTTTTTTCATTCCTTCAAGTTCCCAGTGGAACATAGGGCTTCAACCTAGGGGCTTGAAGTTTCTGTAGCAGTGTTAATTTTTACAGGATGAGGTTGCTAGCCTCATGCCCAACCTTTCCTCTTTACCAGCTTTATTTATTACTGGCTTAGCGAGGTAAAGGAGTGCGTCGGCCGGAGATCGAACCCGGACCACATGCGTGGTTGGCGAGCATCCTACCGCTGTGCCACCGACGCAGTTGTGGATATAGTTAGCTTTAATAATTGGAGATCCGATACTACGTTATATCTTCGACAAAGTAACTTGAAAATCCACCTTCCAATTACAAGCAAAACACTATTGACTGAAGATATGTGAAACGCAGCTATTGTTACGACTCCGAAATTATTGATTGTTGGAGAAACACTTTAATGAGTAGAAGGACTGGAAGAACAATAAATCACTGTACTGTTAAAATCAAAACAAAAATTATTCACTAATTTCCACTGATAATTTACCTTGAAATTGGATGCAACAGGTGAACGCAGCACACAAGTCATAATACGTACAGTAGTTGCCAGATTATTTGGTATCGGTGTGACTGTGGGTAATTTTCTCATAAATAAGTCTAATGGCCCAATGATATCAGTCCATCCAGAGGCTATAAAATGATTCATTTTAACATCATCAGTTAAATTAGGCAAGTTTTCTAAATAATTGGCAAGATTTTCTAATAGAACAGGCAAGGTATCAACATTTATTGACTTTTGTTTATTTAATGATTCCAAAAGTAAGTTGATGGGTTGAAAGAATGACATATGATCTTCAAAATCAACCAGTACTGCTATAATCGTCTTGAAGAAATTGTCATCTATAGAGAGGAAATGAAAAACCAAAAAAAATGTGACTTTAGAGGCAAACTGTATGCGAAATGTGAATTAATGAGTGGAAACAGGTGAAAAGCTGCCAAGTTGATTGTATACATAAAACAATTTTAAGAGTTTATCATAACATGTTAAAAAATTCTGATATTATATTCACTCACCAGGTATATGAGTTTGGAATAATTGAGTGAACAGACCATTTGGTGCTAGATTATACATTGTGCAACGAAGAAATTGACGAGCAATGCTAGACACATTCCCAGGACTAATCACATGTGAACTAGATAGATAAAAATAATGAGTGTTATATGAGTATGAGGTAGAGAAATTACGAAAGACCAAAAGTGAAACTCAAAACTTCACATTTATTTTAAAATGTCAGAACGTTTTATGACATTAGGCAATATAGGTAGGTTTTTTAATTGAATTTTTATGTGAAACAAATCTAAATTAGAAAATTTGTCAGCTTATAATAAACCCTCATTTTCATGACGAACATCGTAAATTTTTCTGGTGATTGATGGGCTATCTGATAACCCCAAATACAGCGTATGTTAACTCCAAAAAGAAGCTCTGTTTTTGATGTAGTTGTGTTCTCTGAGCTGGATGGTTTATTGGCGAAGCTTTCATCGCCCTACTAGGCAACATATTCAGCGCATACTTCAATTTGAAGTGAGCTTTTAGATTTCTCCACGAGTTTATTAGTCATCTCTCCTGGTGACCTTGGACGTGATTGGTTGCTTTTGTGTGTTTTCACACCCTCTAGACTACTTGTATTGGTACTGATTGTTTCCTTGACTTGAACTTTGACCCTTTGTGTATGAGATTTCCTTCTTATGGATTAGTAAATTTTGTCTATGTTGATGTGTCTATTAATTGACGATTCAATGGAATACCAGGCTTCTAAAAATTCTCTAGCATTCTTGGTGTTTCCTCTGTCTAATATTTGAACGTTGTCCCAGTTGAATTGATGTCCATGGTTGTCTGTGTGCAGCGATATGAGGGAGTGGATGTCATATCTTTTGATGGCTAGTTTATGTTCATGGATCTGAAGACGAAGGGGAAGTCCACTTTGGCCAATGTAGTGTTTTTCGCAGTCGTTGCAACTTATTTTATAGATGATGTTGGTTTTATCTTCTTTCGCTGTTGAGTCTTTTGGTTGACACAGGGTTGGCTGGCTGAGTGAAGTGATTTTGTTGGTTTGTGTGCGACATCAATTCCCAAAGGTTTTTAGAGTCTTGCAGTGATTTCTAAGATGTCCTTTATATATGGTAGGGCGATTTTCTTTGTGTTTTCCTTGGGGGCCTCTTTGATTTGGTAGGTTGTCTTGGGGGTAGATGTCTTTTGATGGAGTTCCGTGCATATCCATTCTTTTGGAAGACGTCCATGAGATATCTTTCTTCAATTTTCCTTAAGGTGGGAGTGCTGCAAGGAGTCCTCCCCCTCTTGAATGGTATTTGTATACAACTCCTTTTGTGTGTCATTGGGTTGTTGCTGTTGTAACTGAGTATTTTATCTGCGTGAGATGATTTTCTATAAACTTGAGTTCTTAATTTTCTTGTGGTTGTTCGCTTGACTAAGACGTCCAAAAGTGGGATTCTGTTCTCAGATTCCTCTTCTCTTTCACAAGAGAAGAGTATTACTGTCAGTAACACCCAGCCACCTTAGGCTTGAGTCTGAGTCAAAAGTCAAATGATGTTGGTTTAAAAGAAAACTATTTTCATCTAAGTAAGCTTATTGCCTTCGGAGGTTTTGCTCCTAGTGATGCGAGATCGAAGATAGTGCTTATCCGGAGGTCAAAAGCAACGCAAAAGAGAACCAAAACTTTTAGAGTAACAAAACGTCTAAAATAACTATGTTATAAACTACACATATTCTCGACTGTTTCAAAAGTACGGTTCCAGAGAACTCATTTAAAGAACTCATTTAAATATTTACTACCTATAGCTACATTCTTCGTATATTGTGGTTAGAATTCAACCAGGCTTGCAGGACATTGATTTGCTTACAAACATGCATATGCAATCAAACGAAATACCAGTTTATTAAACTTACAGTTCAGGTTGCCAGGAATAGAAATATGCACTGGCTAAGCGTGCCGTAGTTAACAGCATATCTCTTAAGTATGGAGCTGCTAAACTTGGTTCACGATGTACAAATGTCGATAGGCAGAGTATACCTAATCCAAGTGTATTTTCATCATAATGCTCCAAGATACAATGACACCATGGGCATCTTTCAGTAGTTAGTGCAACAGTCATTGCAGCAGTAGTTAAACTAGGTAGCGTATTTGTATTTGTACTTGGTACATGATTATGAGCACTGGTATGTGTTGTATTTTGAGTAATTGGTGAAGGTGTATAACTATTTTTCTTGACATTTTCATGCTTTCTATCCAACTTCACATTATCAGATAAATAAAGTCCTTCAGCAACTGATTGTGAACGATTCACTGTTAACGAATTTGAAGGTGGTATATCACTTGAGTATAATTTACTCTGTGCTACTGTGTCTTCACCAGATGTATCCAATGGATGAGATAAAGTTGAGCTTGTTGGTATAGTGAATTTAGCTTGCTGATTGTTTGAACGTTTACTTTTATTCAGTGGTGAAACAGAGTCACTTAATGAGTCTAGTAATTGAGTTGGCGAATCAGATTTGAGTGATTTTAGCTTCCTAAAAAGAAAAAGAAACAGACTCATAGATTTTCAACAAGGACAAGAATATTAGCTGATTTAAAGTTTCAGTGTATCTCGACAATCTTAATACTTCAGAGATTGATTAGGAAACTTCACTTAAGTTAGTTGTTCTATTTCATATACATTTCTTCTATTCTACTTCTATGTGTGAAACAAAGACTACAATCACACAACACTGAAGATGAAAATGATACATTGTAGATAAGTCATTTAAGTTAGTTTTATTAGTTAAATGATAAGACTGTAGTAATCCCATTTCATCTGAAGGCAAAAGACAATGATATAAAGTGGAGAGTTATTCATTCGAGTTAAGTCTAAGTGTCCCCAACTTTCTCCAGTAGAAATCGAAAAATCCTATTCAAAATTAGTTATTCTGAGCATTATTTGTTGATAGTATCACTCACAGCACGGTAATCAAAAGTGTGTTGTATGGATAACCTCAACCTAATGGAAGCTTTTTCTAGGTATCGAAAAACATCTCCCCCGCTGCCGATAATTTTCTACGAATTGATGAGAATGTTCTTTGGGCCACTAAAGTCTTTCGTCTAGTATTTCCATCCATGGATAATGTAATCTAATAGTTTATAAATATGGTGGTCTTCTCAAGGTTTTTATATTTTATTCAGTTTTTCACCTTCCTGATTTCACAATATTAATTACTTGGTGTATAATACTCTGTCAGTATATAAAAAGGAGTTATTACTCATGGTGTGGTGGTCCATTTTAGTAGTGTTTTTTTTAAATGTGAATTTGTTTTTCTAGTTATCCTGGTTTAGAATCATATGGTCCCTAAACAGATCTTCAGGACAGCAAAAATAAAAGAATTTCCCCGTCTTTAGACATCATTTAAGGTGTTTCTATTAGACTTTCACTTAATGTCAATTAATTTTAATAATTTAATAATAGTGACTTTATTCTGGACAATACTAATATAATGTAAAGAATTTTCGGCGGAATTTATTGCACACTATTTTCTCTTCGTCCAGAATCTTCAAGTAAAATAGTAATTGACAGTAGATCGTGTGACACAATGCCCTGTGACCTGAAGAACAAACCAATCCCTTATAATATTTCTTCTTTGTCTCCTTCAAGAAATGCACATTTCGTTGAAAGACAATTAAATAAAGTGCAGGAGTACATTTTGAGACCCAAGGATATAAGTGAATAATTAAAGACCACATGTAGTGAGTTTTATTTCCTATGGAGTGGCAGTTTGAACTAAAAATCTCAGAAACAGTTGTATCAGGTATTGGGATATGTTACCACTCAGGATCATGTTTTTTTCTCAAGTATAGTAGAAACTTACCCATTCAGCAAGCCGTAAACATTTTAAATACTTTCCAGAGTAAACAATGTCACTAAAGGTCATACTTTAACAAATCAAAACAAAGCAAACAGAAGAAATTGCATGCAATATAATGATGGGGGATTTTAGTAGCTGGAGTTTTAAACAGGCTGCTGTACTGTTCTGGGACTAGAATATGTGGAATTAAACAACTCATATTCATTGGTGTCATGATGCTAACTAATCGTAAAGTAGCAAACATATGTGATCAATGAAGAATATTTTCAAGTATTGGTTTTGTAGGGATTTTTGTTTGATTGCATGGAGGATTTTATCATGAGCTGACATCAGTTAGAGAACCACTGGAAAAACTGGAAGTACTGGACAGCTGTTTCATCCTAATTTGGGACTCTTCAGCAGTGGCTCAATGGTCTACGAGCTCACCTTGTAACCAGAAGGTTCTGGGTTTGAACCTCGGTGGGTGCGTACTGATGAAGAGTCCCAAACTAGTCTGACGACACAGCTGTCCAGTACTCCCAGGTTTTCCAGTGGTTCTCTAACTGATGTCAGCTCATGATGAAATCCTCCATGCAATCAAAGAATTTTTTATTTATACTCGTGAGATTCAGTGGCGACTCAAAGGAGTCAGTTTATAACCAAATGTTAGCTACTCTGTGGCTAAGACTACATATACCATGTAGTTCTTTCATGTAAGATTGCTCAAAAGATGTAGTCAATTAAACAGAAGAAGAATAAGAAGAACAAGAGTACTCAAAATTCCTTCACCTCTGTAAACTATACACTGGTACTTTGAGGTGGAACCTTAACGAAATTGAATGTTTCATTGCATAAACTTCTCAATGTAATTTGCAATTATATGTGACTACATTAGTTTTTCCTAGTCTAGTTCAACACTTTATCTTACGAGTTGATCAAGGATTGATATCATTTAGAGAACCATTGAAAACCAGGGAGTCCCAGTGGCTGAATGGTACACGAGCTTGCCTTGTAACCGGAAGGTCCTGGGTTCGAACCCCAGTGGGTGCGTACTGCCGATGATTCCCAAACCAGGATGAAACAGCTTTCCAGTACTCCCTGGTTTTCAACGGTTCTCTAACTGATATCAATCCATGATCAACTCGTAAAAACAAAACTAATCCTTACAAACCAAACTATAGAAAAAAACTTTATCTAACCTTGACGCTGAGTTTTTCTTCAGGTACTACTGAAAAGTGGAGTGACTTATGTACAGAAGTTTATCTTACTCAGCCTCTTTTACCGTCTAATCTTTCCTCCAAACACTAGAATTTTTAAATTATCTATTTTCTATAAATCCATCTGCAGCTTAGTAGAAATGTTAAAGAACCAGTAACTCTTTGCTCTATGTATCATAAAGACTAACTAGATCAAAAACAACTCATGTAATCTGTTAAACATTCTATAATACCTATGAGATTACAGACATCCTATTGGAATAAAATGAGAAAATAAACAACACAGAATAATGTCTTCATCTTCCTTCCTTCTGTGGTGTTGACCAAAGTATGTTGGTTTCGAATAATCTAAATAATAAGTAATGAGATGGTTTTGAAATAATGGAGAAGATTTGTAGTTCAGGTGGATGGTATTGAATTAGTTGTGTTCTCTGAGCTGGTTGGTTTAATTGAGAAGCTTTTGTCATCCTTCTAGACAAGTATATAGAAATTCAACGCACACAGACCAAATACTCAACTATAATAGTAATAAAACAATTACCCACAAAAGAAACTGTGGGCAGACATTGTTTAAAAGAGTTCAAGCACACTGTAGCACTCCAGTGTTGAAGAGAATGGAGGAGAAATACCTACTAACCATTTTCAAAAAGAATAGATATCCACACAATTTCATCAAAAATCTCGAGTCACATCACCAACAAGAAACCATCATGAAAGACCACAAGATAATTCATCCTACCATATATAAAAAATATCTCTGAAATAGCAGCTAGAACATTAAGATCGTTTGAAATAGATATAGAAAAAAATCCCCATTTAGAAAACAGAAAGATTGAGCGAAGAAATATTTACTTTTCAATTAGATCCTCATCTCTGGCTCTATTCTAATATATATAGCATTTTTATATTAGAGTAGAGCCAAAGATGAGGATCTAACTGAAAAGTAAATATTTCTTCGCTCAATCTTTCTGTTTTGAAATAGATATAGCATACAAGCCAGTCTAATCACTTTATTCGATATTGTGCAAATCAAAAGATCCAACAGAAAAAGAAGATAAAAATTAATACCATTTCCAAAATAAACTGTATAAACTTCAATAAGCATTACATCGGTCAAAGTGGGCGTCCCCTTCAAATCCGAATCCAAGAACACAAATTGGCTATAAAAGACATGATATATATTCTTTCGTATCAATGCAAGTGAATAAGTATTCACACCAATTTGATTGGGATAATGTAGGAATTTTAAATAAAGGAAACACCAAAAATACTGCTAGGGAATTCCTAGAAGCCTGATACTCAAGTGAATCAGCAATTAACAAACACATTATTATAGACCAAATTTACCAGCTGATAAAAAGTAAATCTCATGACAAGAAAGTTCGAATTCCAAGCCAATAAAAATGACCAGTAGAAATGTAAGTTAACAACCAGTCGCGACAGTGGTTGCCAGGAGATACAATTACGTCACTCATGGAGAATTTAAATAAGTCCATTTTATACTAAAACCTGAGCTGAAGCGATGTTGTCTAGAAGGACGGCAAAAGCTTCGCAGTTAAATCAACCAGATCAGAGAACACAACTAATCCAATGAGATGATTTTCAGTGCTAAGAACAGCTTTAACACTGGGGTATTAGAAAAACGATTTCTTAATTTTTAGCCATCCGTTTTGTAAACGATTGCTACTTTATAAACAAGGTGGTTATTAGGCTCTTTAATTGTGATTAAATTCAGCATAGGAAAGAAGAAAACAGTATAAGAGTTAAGCTAACTTATGTATAATCGCATTTCAATCAGTCAGCTGTTTCTCAAAAGCAAACTGAAAAAGCCTCTGAATTAAAGTCAAGTGAAATCTTACTTTTCATCTTGAAGATTAGAACCAGAACCTCGTTTAGGAAATCTTAGTGTTACTTTCTTCGGTGATTTACATTCATTCGATCCACCTAGTGAAAGGAAAAGAAAAAAAACTTTATAGAATATTTTGCACACTTTATAGCTATTTTTCATTTTGACTGAAGTTTTTCTTGAAATTAGAACATAAACCTGAGTCACAGAATGATTCAAAGTAGATATCTTTGGATCACCTGTCTAAGACCTTACGAAATTGAATTTTCAGGGATGCTCCGAATTTCACTCATGAGAAAGAAATATGACGTATATACCCAAATTGACAAGGAATGAAAATCAAAGGCACTACCTGAACAATTTAAGTTTTCTTCATATGGGATCATCAACCGAAATAATTAGAAATTTCCAGAGTAGATGAAATCACAATGAATGAATAACCTTTGTTTGACTTCATACTGTTTTGTCTGTTACAAACATCACGATAAAACAAGATTATTTTCTTCAGGATGTTTCGAGTGAGATTTATTTTCCATTGTAGTATAAAACTGATGGGTGAGCATAACTCCATTATGGATAAGATTTTATTTTGATAAATCACACAGTGTTGTACACTAATATTAACTGATGACGTTTCGAGCATAAACTATTGCTCATAATCATATCTGAATGTACATTATCTCATAGTGAATTTTATTCCAATATCTAATCGATTCCACACATGTATATAAATGAAGGAAAAAGTTGTGTGAGTAACTTGATATGATTATGAGCAATAGTTTATGCTCGAAACGTCATAATATTATAATAATTCTAGAGAAATATTCATCCAAAATGGTTACCCAATAAGATTTATCGACAAAAATATGAAACCAATAATTCGGAAAAACGAAACTTTGACTGCGCCTAAAAAGAAAATCTACATGAACTTGGATTTCAAGGGAGATTTAGCAAGCGATATTCTCAAGAGAAGGATCACATCATCTCTGAGAAGAACATTCTTTGCAGCAACGCTAAGAATAGTGTTCTCCAGTCGCCCACTAATCTGCAGAAGCTTCAAGGACAAGATCCCACATCTGGCCACTTCTATGTGCATATACCAGTTCACCTGCTGCTGTGGAGCCGGGTACATCGGTCGTTCGACGCGCATCCTGTCCAAGAGGATTCAAGAACACTATCCAGCATGGTTGCGAAAAGGCAATAGTGGTGCAATAAGGAGTGCGATAATTGAACACCTGGTCAGCACTGATCATTGCATTTCAACGAACGCCTCCTTCAAAGTAATCTACCGAGTCAAGAACAACATGTCAAAGGCAATACGGTTTCGTCTCCTTTGTATCGCTGAAGCTCTAGCCATTCACATGGAAAAACCGGAGCTGTGCATACAAAAGAAGATTACTCAACCACTTCTACTCTCATGGTAACAAGTTATTTTTTTTATTTTGATAACTTAATTTTGTTTCTTTGCCTGTTCCTTAGCTGCTTATAATTCTTGTATTCACTTAGATCTCTTACATAGTTTCGTATTATCTACTTTGTTTCTATGTGCATCCTGAGTAAAACTCACTCATCAAAATATCCATATTATTATTGCATAACTTCTTTTAACAACTGTTTGTGACAACTCATCACCTTTGTTACTATCCTAGCACTTAATTGTCTTGACTTATATTACCAACCTTCCCTTGTTTAGTTAAAATTAACCTTAACCGATTGTAACTTTGTTTGACAAACTTAATACACATACATACAAAACAATGCATATATATTTGCGATTGTACAGCTAAGAAGATGAATTCGCCGAAAAGAGACTCTTCGCTGATCTACGTGTTTTGTTTTCATTAAATAAAATCTTATCCATAATGGAGTTATTTTCCATTGTCATATTGAAAACAACTCCAAAACTTTGAGATTTGCTTAAAAACTGAATTTCTGCGTTCAAGGATTGCTTATTGCTTATGCTGAATAAGTGTGTAACCTAAATGTTCACTTTCTACTGTTGTGTTAACCGAACCTCGGTTTAATTTCAGTAGGTGTAATTTGAATTATTTAATCAGTGGGCAGACAAATTCGTCACTAACTTAACGTTTGTTTTTCTTTCACCACAACACAATTAAAGGTGAGTAAGAGCCATAATCAAAATGGTTATATGACAAATTAATTCAAATGTAATTCCATTTATACTAGAATTTTTGTCAAAGTCATGTTGCAAGGTAGATTTTCACTACATGCGGACATCATTTAGCAAGTCAATATGCAATGAACAGCTAGCTCATCATAACTCGGGACTTTCCACGAGTTCACGTCCACAACTTCATTAAGAATCAGCAGGTACGGGTTGACCTAATTATTTCCCTTCATGAATAGTTGTTAACGACAGATAAATGTGACCTATCTTTACAAAATAATTTACTTGGATTTTCCAGTATTGCTTTGCACTGCAGCTACACTAAGAATGATGACTCAGTGAGCTGGAGTTAAACAACCATATCACTGATCTCCATCATTACATGTGTGACTAATTTGCCTAAGCAATCGAATGTCGATCAGCCGGTCCCTAGTTTTGAACATCAATCCTCTACTTTAGGTTAACCAACCACCTGGTGTCTTAGACTGTCAGCCATTAAATATTGAAACCATCACCAGGTAATTGATTTATAGTGATATTTTATGAGCTGCACAGAAACCTTACAGTAGTTCTTCCAAACACCAACAGACAGTAATAGCAGCTTATGAATTCAGTGTGACCAATGGATTAATAATTTCATAGTTTTAAATGAAAAACTGACCTTTTGCTTGTGATTCACTTGTTTGTGTGCTCATTGCTTCAGTTTTGTCTTGTACTGAAGTTGACTCAGTAGTGGTGTCCGATAAAAGTGGCTATTTTACGCAGTTATGAATGGCAAAAATATAGAAAAAATATCAGTATATGATTGTTAAGAAAAATAAAAAGGACAGTAATAGAATTAAATGGTCTTTGCGCAATGACTCGGGGAAATAAATTGGAGGTATATACCACCGAAATGCAAAATAGATGAATAAATGCTCAAACGAAATACCTCGATCAAAGCAAAAACCTGTTTTTATAGCATAAAGAAATACTACAGTTAAAAGGAAATGATTCATACGATTTTAAACTATAGATTAATTCTATACAGGTATAACTTAATATTTCCTTGCATAGATGACATTCTGAAGAAACTTTTATACATGACAAAAAATGACCGACGTGTGACTTTTAGGACACACAGCATACAGTAGACACCTAATTTATTCGATATGTGAATAATTCACCTGAAGAATTACACTATTTGTCAAATTGAACATATTCTTCTGTAACAGTAGAAGATATGAAGTTTGCATATTTTTTAGCATTGTTGCGTTCCCTTTGGTTGAATAGTTTAATTGAAAAGCTTTCTTTGTCCTTCTAGCCGATATCTCACCTCGAAATACAGTAACCATGCAGTGGAGGAAAAGCAACAAGACCAAAAAGATTCACCTGCACTATTAGTTTGCATTATTTTAACGTATATATATTATATCAACGTTATTTAGTCTATGTAACCGAGACAAATGAATAATCTCCATCATATGCAGAAGAACACACGTATATAGCTCATATGATATGATTATGAGCAATAAATTGTGCTCAAAAAATCATCTAGATGTTAATTGTGCATCATCCTGTGTGATATCAATTAAACATAGCTAATATGGAATTATATTCTGCCATGGTGCCCGAATTCTACTCATATACTAAAGTGATCTGTAGTCATACTACTTCTGTTAGTAAGAAATAAAAAGAAAAACAATTAAAGAAAAAAGTTTCAACACCAATGGATTGGTGTGAAATATGTTGTACAGTGAAATATTTAAACACTTATAATGAGATTGTTAAAACAGTTTAGATGTAGTGTATACGTAACATAGTAGGTTCTTAAAGACTTTTGTAAAGGGAATTGCTCGTTAGGTGTATAAAGATTGGACTGAAAACATTATAATTACTGGAAGAAAATCTAGCATACAGGGAGTTGCCCCGTCTGTAAAAGGCTCAGCAAGTAATTTGTAGAGGTACACCCATTTCGGTTGGAGAATATTCATTCTGAAGGCTTTAAATATGTCTCTGTCTGTGTATTACAGATTCACCGGTGTATTGCGTAGTTCATAATTAAGGTGTGTTGTTCATTTTTCAAGACAAGTAAGTCAAAAGTTTTAGAATTAAAGTAGGTTATCAATAGTTATTTTGATGAAAAAATGTACGTAATTTTCATTCAGAAGTACTACATTACTGTAAAGTAGCACTACGGCTGACACTCAAACTGACACTGACACCTCTTCCGACTAAATCAAGTGTTGGAGAAGTAACCAAATCACGGAGATGTTCACAACCTATGCTAAAAATATTCATAATCGAAAGTTGAAGTAGGAGGATATACAGGATACAGTATAAAAATGAGTGGTGGTAAAAATATCTGTTAGGAAAGTAGTTCATTTGAGTACTACTCTTCTCAATGGTTTATTTTACTGTTTTAATATTGTTTAAATTGTAATTCTCCATCTAGCTACATTAAAAACGTTTAAAGTATCATACTACACTACTTGAGGCTGAAACTAGCTAAACACTAAGCTACCTGATTATCTAAACACAACATTTATCGTGCATATATATAGTAAACACCAAAATAGCCAACTAACTAACTAACAAATAATATATGAAAAGTAAATGTTAAGGAGAACGCTACATATAAATATGCATGTATATTTCCCTTTTTAGATAGAAACAAATCATAGTTATATACTGATTTAATAAAAAAAGCAAAAATTATGATCTTCAATTTGCTAAACATTATTTTCTATTTTCATTTCTAATTCATTACAAGTAGGATGGAATTCATTGATACGAAAAATATCCACTACAAATCATTCCGTATATTTTCGCATGTCAGTCGGAAATTCTAATTACTTTACAATGCAGCTATAATTTACCCTCTCCAAAGGGATTTAGTGAAAAGTAGGTTAGGAAACTGAACTACTCATTTGACAAACAAATTAGGAAAAAAGAACTACCAATCTAAAATGTATGTATCAATTCTGCATCGTTATAAATAATAAGCTTGTCTACAGTTCTGTGTTTTTAACTATGTGTCTAAAGAGGATATATCAGTAGTATAAATGGCATGCAGCTACATTTGAAAAAGTGGTCAGATGAAAAATAAAAGCTGAATTATCTCCAATTTCAACCTTCTAATACAATTTTCAGAAAATATTTTGAAATAGGGAATAAAATGTACAACCGAAAAGTGGTTTTATTCTCTGTCATGTTCTTTAGGATGCTTTTACGATAAGAGTGATTGTTTTTGCATTCGTTGATGAAAACTGGAACTATATAAATGCTGTTCTACAGCATATTTGTATTTTATGTTATCGTCTTTAACTTCATCAAATATTGGGAAACTAGTTGGTGTTCTCTGGGTGTTGGTATGCGATCGTAGAATAAATTGTTTAGTGCTGAAGATATCATCAAGTATTGTGATGAAATGTCTACGATAAAATACAGAAGCTCTGTGTCTGAGCCCCACATCTTCTCCCTTATTTCAATATCGAAAGACGTTTACAATCATTATGATCAGTGTGGTATTCAAGTATGTTTACAGTTAAACCAATAAAATATCAAGCTAAACGACAGTGATTGTTGGTAAAATTTTAGCAGAAGTGTTCTTCTTTACACCAAAAAGTCATAACAATTAACGAAATTAAGCGTTATTCCTATTTCAGCTGCTGAGCTGATATGCTTTGAGATAAACCTCAAGGAGATAAACTTGAAATGACGTTATAAGTAGTAGCTTTGTAATGCAATGATTACCCAGAAGACTTTTATTCAACACTCTATAGAGTTTTATATTTCTTCTCTGAGCACTGGAAGCATGAAGATTTTGTGCAGAGATGTATACTTAATGAAAATAATATTTTGATCTACAGAAATTTTAATGATGTATCTTGCATAGAGGCGTAACATCTGTATTGGTAAGTCTTTTATTAATATTACTAATCCTATTACCATTGTCAAAGCTCCAGTTTTATGAACAATAATTTCCGGTAACATTCATCTCCGCTTACTTAAAATATCAGGAAGATCTAAGCTTTATGGAAAACAGAAATAACGGTACAGTTTCATTCACATCGGCGTCAGTGGCACAGCCGTAGAATACTCGCTGACCACACAGGTGGTTCGGGGTTCGACCCCTGGCCGATGCACTCCTAAGCCTCGTTAAGCCAGTAATAAGACTGGTAAAAAGGGAAGGTTGGGCATAAGGCTAGCAACCCCATCCCGTAAAAATAAACACAACTGCTACCGAAACTTCAAAGCTCTAGCTTGAAGCCCTATGTTCCACTGGGAAAGTAAAGGAATAAAATAAAAACAATAAATAAAATAGTAATTTATTCACTTGTGTTGATCACTACAGTCGAAACAGAAGCCCGATGAAATGTCATATAGAGGTGATATACTTTTTACTTCGTAAAAACTGAGTTACAATGACATATGTTCCGGTTGTTTTCAGGTGAATGATACTACATTGGCGGTGAAAAATAAATGCATGCGCAGTTGAATCACCAAAATAATGGAATAAGAATGGCGAATGAAAAGAAATACGCTTCAACGGATTGTATTTCTATAATTTACTTAGATTATAATATTTATATAAATAGGGTTATGTAAACTAAAATTGGTGTGAGACATGCAAAGTAATGGAGAAAGATAAAAAAGCTTCTAACTCTATGGATAATAATTACGCATACAAACCAGGAAGCGAACACACACGCACAATTCAAACATTCGAGTAAACGCAAGCAGATGAAGAGAAAGCTTACAACAATATGGATCTAAAGTTCCTCTTACTTTTTCAGAATTTCTCCTCTATGTATACCAAATAGTCACGATAATCACATGTTTGTTATAGGCTTGTTTTACCACTTATTATTTAACCTTAACTACGCTAGCTTCTTTCTCCAGCATCGCTAATTTTCTACACTAAAATTCATTTGTGATGGTTTTTTGTACTTTTCTCCTAAACGGACTTTTCCTTATTGCCCTACATATGTTATTCTTATTGATATTGCAGGAAAATATTTGTAGTTCTAAGTTGATCGGTAAATTTTCAGATCAATAGCAGAATCTTTCCGCTATAGGCAGTGACAAGAAGTAGAATTAGAAAGTTGTTGATCATTTGATATTTGAGAGTTGAAGATATCCAGAAAGGTATGTGCTGTCTAACAGCTTTATTATTACACAACGAGAGTGTATATGAGTAACTTTAAAATAACAGGAAAAATGAAATATGCTATAATAATGATATAATATTATATAAACCAATCATGGTGTTTTGTCTATAGGATAATAAGATGGCATAGGACAGACAAAAACAATCCGTAGCTCAATTTTGTCACATTTAGTTAATAGTGGTCATGTAGTGGAGAAAACGAGAGCTTTCAGAGTAATTCATCGTATCCCACCGAATCTTTCCAATAGACTTCATATTCGTCTACTGCTCACAGCTGAGGCGATAGGCATTCGAACTATTAAACCTAAACTATGCATTCAAAAGAAGTTCGTACAGCCATTATCCCTCCCTTTTGGCCTATTAAGACATAACCAACTGATAGCTTCTCCACACCACCCTTTTTATATTTTCAACCCCTCTCTTATCATCCCTTAATCTTATCACATCTTCATTAAAAACGTATTTCATTTACTTCCCTTACAATCTAGCATTACTTAATCGGTTCATTTGTTTTTCTTAGCCTTTATCGACTACTTCTACCTGAACATTTGTTTGTTTAATCATGCTGTTTTTCATTATTCGTGTTATCACAGATTGCCT